GCTACTTTAGCCTCAGCCAGTTTTGAGCTCTGTCCGTGAAAGTTCCGTGCTAACTCTTGTTCTCTGTATGCAGATTTCTCGTGCTTGGTTTGGGGACTCTGGACGCTTTTCCCGACCCCGCTCTGCACCCCTGGGAACCCTGGCCCCCTTCTCCTTCACCTGTATATAGTGCACCTGGAGTGTGTAAATAAACCTGTTTTTCTGAGATTTCAGTCTGCGCCGAGTCCTCCCTGCTCCTCCGTGACACACAGTGTAAAAACAAATCTTTTTTTACACATACAAATCTTTTTTACGCACACACAAATTTTTTTTACACATACAAATCTTTTTTACGAGTACAAAATATTTATGACCACATTTTGAGCCCATAGAGTTTTCCTTTTTTTGAGTTGTTTCTGTATGTGGCATCCCTGTCCCCCCACTGGTAAACTCATCTATATTGATGCGCCTGTTTGTGCTTTTATGTGCTATTTTAAATAGTTACTAATAAATTGACAATTTGCTTTATCACTAGGCCACGGCCCTCTATTGAGTATAACAGACCTGAGCGTCCTCCTGGTAATTAGCATTACTTCGATCCACTGTTCTCCGGGTGAAATTCCAGGGTGGCGTTGTCGGTTGTCTGTTAAATTGTGAAGAGTATTTATTCCATCCCAGCCTTGTGCTGCCACGTTTAGTTTAAGATCTACATTCTGATATTCTGATGAGAGAGAGGTTGAGTCTCCATGAACAGCTTTACTGCTGCTGTTTGACATCTTCGATCCAGCTTAGATTATTCCCACTGATGATGAAATGCACTAGCTTAAAAAAAGTCAGAATGTGGAGTATAAGATGTCATATTTAAATCCAGTAAGTTGAAAAAATGCTGAAAAAATGATTTATTGTAAATCTCTTCTTTTGGTCCATCTGTGCCTCTTTCTTGGACCAACAGGGGGGCCGTGATCCACACTTTGGGAATCACTGCTATAGTGACTCAATGATCTATTTTTTTTCTGGGGTAGCATGTAGATTACTTTATATTTCTGTAAGAGTATATTTGTTTTATTTGTTTATTATTAACAAATTTTCAACATGTATTATTACTGAGTGACGGCTTTGCTAAATCCAGCTGTGAGCTTTTTGACTGTTTCTGGGGACACTGAGCAGCAGCACAGATCTATACTGTGACAGTATAATGGATGGTATGTGTGTTTATTTATTTAATCACTTAGTCTCAGCTCAGCTTTTTTTCCATATACCGGGTAAATATCTTCCAGTCATACAATATGCCAGCATGATTTCAAGATAGTAAGTTTAGACTGATCGAAGCAGGAACTGAGTAAAAATGTGACCTGAGTGTGAGGTATGTCTGAAAGAGACTGACTAACCCACAATAAATAAATAATCAAGTAACTAAAAATTATTTTTACTCAGGCCATGGTGTAATAATGATCACTAAACCTTTGAAAATAGTCCCTTTAACCTTCCTAACATTAAAGATAATATTTTAATAATACCGCAACATATTTAATTTTACAAATAGAGACAATATGAACCAGAAAAACCTGTGTGGGCCTGTCACTGTGAAAAATTTGAAGCCTCCAGTTTTTGTTTTTTTGTTTTATCTGAACCAGGAAGTGTTTTGAATGCAGGGCAGAGCTCTGACTCTGCAACCAAAGGGTAAGGTTGAGGGTAAAAACCTGTTTCAGTGTAGCATACAGGTGTTCAGCAGTACTGGGAACAGTGGGTGTGTTAGTGGAGGCGCTTAATCAAATGATCCCAGGAAGCAGGTTGTGAGATTATTATACTATCCTATGCCACCTTATACTTCTAATCAAAGAATTGTTGAATCATTATACAGCTTTAGGCCACATTATGTCTTGGATTAAAGATGTGAAATCATTACTGTTTTATGATGCACTATACTGCTGATTTATAAGAAATACTGTTTGTGAAGAATCTTGGCCTTCCTTTTCTGAGTACAAAGAGAACAGAACATACCGTAGAGCTTTTCTGCCCTATCTCATCAGGAGGAGATAAAACAGGAAGCCAAGGTCGTCACGTAGGCGCCGTAAGAGAGAAAGAATGTGAATGCTTAGTGTGGCGGAGGGCTGAAGCTATAAGACTGTGAGAAACGGTCAGACACTTTGACATTTTGCAGGAAACCCCGCCTTGCTCATCTCCTGTCAGGACGTTTAAGCTCAAAGTGTGTAAGGAATTATGAGAAGTGTATGGAATAAAGAGATTGTTGATTGAGCATTTATATACTGAGTGTTTATACACCCACACACCATCAGGCTGTTTAACTCCTCTCTGGAGGGGAGAGGGAGGGGAAACAGGAGGACAAAGGAGGGGGGGACAACTAAGCTGTAGTGCCTCTTCACTGTGCAAGGCTTTTTGTTAATAACCAACGGTGCAACAGACTCACAATACTTGAAATGTGCAATTCCCTTGTATTCTTATTCCTATTTATTCTATTTATCCCTTTTGTATACTCTGTATTTATATATGTGTATATATGCTATTCTGCTCACATTCTGTAACTTCTGTTGGTGCTGTGCTATTGGAAACTGAATTTCCCAGAGGAATCCACCCGAGGGATTAATAAAGTTTTATCTTATCTTATCTCTCTTGTTCTTCCTTCAGCCCAAACAACAAAGATTTGGGATATTTAACAAGGTGTAGCAGGCCTGCTATTTTCATTACAGATAACTCGGTTCAAACTTTAAATGTTGTTTGACAACGTCTCACAGCTGTGTCTCAACATGTTTTTTGACAGCATTTCCTTTATAACCTTTTAACCTTTATAACAGGATTAAATATGCTGGGATCAGTGAAGTAGAAAAAGTTCACAGTGTGACATTGATCAGTGTTTCTAACTCAAACTGTGAACTTTTGCTGATTAAAACACTTTAATGTTGTATTTAGTGACTGTAATAATAAAAACAGGTGCAGCAGGAAGAAAACGCGATGGAAAACAAAGCGGTAACTGACTTGAGAATCCAAACATGGCTCTCAGTGCTGCGTTACTATTTGTGAATCCAGCTGAATTTAAACCGAGTTCAGTCTCACCTGTAGAGGCAAACAGGAGGCAGGGAGTGAAATCCAGTAAACAGACACACATGTCCCAGCAGGCATTTCATCCACTTCTGCTCACCAAAACTGAATAAAACTATTCTGAATTTCCAAATGATGAAAAGAATAATCTCTGTGTCTTCTGATGATGGATGTGTTAAAGTTCTTTATTATGAAATCTGGGACTAATAAAAAAACACGCCAAGGGTTGATGGTGCACCAAAACATAAATACAAATAAGTGCCTCTAATTATTTTATGGTGTCTGTTTCCACATGTGCCCCGACTGCAGCGAGAAGTATTTGTTACTTCCGCTGCGGGGGTTGTGTTTTTAGTAGCGTTTGACACATGTGCATTTAAACATGCTACTCCCTTGAAATTAAAGATAACACACAGATAAGGAAGACAGGAAAAACTGTTTGTTACTCTTTATTTCCAAACTTTATAGTTAACACACACAGACCCTGTTCGTTTCTGCTGTTTCCTAAGCACAGAATGTTTTTCATACTTTTTCTGCAAGAGTGGTTTTTTATGAGTATGTGGGTTGTGTTAGTAATGAGGGTGTTTACAGAGTTAGACTGACTCTAATGAGAAGGATCTTAGATAAATTAGAATGGGATTTTCTATAAGTCCCAAATGTCGACATTTTGCAGTGTTTTCATGAGAAACGGAACATGAGAGCTCGTTGTAGCTGTTGCAGGCCTTCAGATGGGCCTGTTTTATACAGAAAAACACGAGCAGGAGACATAAGTTGTGTTCAGTCTGCAAACTCTTCCTCATCAATTTATTAAACAGAATTTCACCATCTTTTTTTGTCCATGTACACACTGTCATCTTGTCGTCACATAAAAACACAACGTTAACTCAGGTTAAGATCTTTAAACCCACCTGGTTACCTTGTTTGTTTAGGTATAAAATTACACAATAATGACCTTTTATTGATCCCTTTTACATGCAGTGTAACTTACAACTAAATCCTCCTGCTCTGCAGCTTCAATAATATATCTGAGCAGATTCACTAACACTGATTAACCTGCTTATTATTCACTTTGTAAACTCTCTTTATCTCTGAACACATACAACAATACACAACATCTGACAGTGACAAACAAAGATATTCCACCGTCTCCCAAATAAATATATACCAGGCTGTATGTACAGTATAGAAACAAAATGAGTGAGGACTAGATCATGTAGAAATCCTGTTTCAACATGATGTATGTGATCATACATTTATAGTGTCACACACTGCTTCCCAAAAAATGTAATCATCAAATTAATAAATGAAAACATAATGATAGAAATAATTCTGGAAATAAAAGGTTAAGGTTCACCTGTCGAGTCATCTGAGGTCTGGATCAAATCTTCTTCTCCTGTGTTTTGGGTATTGTGAAGGTCATAAAAAAAGCAAGAGCTAGCGTAACAAGTATAACACTAACTGTTAAACAAAAGTCCAGTCCAGAGGATACATACTCGTTCCCTTTGCCTTTCCTGTCTCCTCCTGGCTGACCTGCAGGTGAGAAACAGGTGTGAGGTGTCAGCTGTCAGGTAGGTGATGAGTGAAGAACAGAAAATAATTAATTTCCTCTTCTAAATGACTCACCTGGAGGAACAACTCTCAGGTAGATGGTGCTGATATGCTCAAAAATGCTTTTCCTGCCATTTATTCCTCTCTGGACCACGTAACACTGAAATGTTCCAGTGTCATCACTCGTCACATCCTTCAGAGTCAAAGACACGTCTCCGTCCTTCATCTGTCTGTCCTGCAGATCCACCCGGTTCACAAAC